GGAGGATTTTCAAGTGCTGTGGAAGGTGAAAATGTTGAAACAAATGAAACAGGAGGTGGCCGGGGTCAACCAAGTCGGAGGAGAGGATCAAGGTTGCCAGGAAGAGGAGGGAGGGGAAGACAACAAAGTGGTTTTGGTGTGTACTACAATCAAAACACTGGTGAAACCCTTCTTGATGTAAGTTAAAATATGTCTACTTCAATGTTGTTGTGGTGGAATTTATTGTAAATTTGTATATTCAAATGTGGTGTTACCTCATTTCAGCCTGGGCAGCCAAGTGAAAGAGTACTGAATGGATGAAAGATCAAGGGCAAATGAAGGTTGCAGGATGGAAAGTCTTCTGGTTGTTTTGCTGGATGGGTGTTATGTAATGGGATGTAAAGACTTTTTGTTTTGCTTGATGGCTTTTATGTAATGGGATGTAAAGACTTAGTTGTTTTGTTGGATAAGTTATGTGTGGTGGTAGTTTGGCTTGAAACTGTTGTTGGCAGTATGTTTGGCAAAACTTTGTGAGCTTTTTTGGGTGAATATTGGCTGTAAAGTTGCTTGTACGTATGGGTATATGTGGGCCAGAGCTCATGCTTTTAAGTTCTCAAATCAGTGTTGGTTTTTGGATTTACAATCATGTTCAATTCAACCCATTCACCTTTAATATGAAGCTGTTTTTTACTATAACAGGTACATATATATTAAATGGTGTTAGGAGTAGGTCAACTCCTATTCATGTGTGTTTAATGTTGGAATCCGTTTAATGCTTAATTCATCTTCAATCCATCCCATGTTTAATCCTTATTACACTTGACCAATGGAGTTGTTACAGTGCCTCATTAATCAGGAATTAAGGAGTAAAGCTTTCTGTAATTCACTTGTTGAATCCATCATGTCCAATTCATCATGTTCAATCCTCATTACATACTAATGATTTCTGTAATTCCCAGACAACCGGAATCTTCATATACATACCAACACAGTATGTTCAATTCAGCCCATTAAATTGTACCAAAAGTCAACAAAGGATGAAAAATTTTACTATATTAACAATGGAAAGTGCTAAATGGTCATCAATAAGTACTACATTAGCAATGAAAAACTGTCATTACAGACTAAATGGTGTTCATGAAGTTTGGTTATACCAGATTACAACACACTACTACAACCACTAATATATGCATTTTTTTGTGTTGAAGTGCATATACCACATACCAATAAAAGCAACTACAGCAATGAAAACAAAAGCAATTGATTGCCTAAATTTTTTGTTTTCCTTGGCTTCATTTTCATGTAGCTTTGTAAGATAAGCAATCTGTCCTTGTACAACCCTTTGTTCAGCCATTGCAGTAGTCATGAGCCTCACATTGTCTGCTTTTGTCTTCATCTCTTCTCCATGATGTGTGCCTCTTATCTCTACATCATCCTTCCACAAGAAAAATCCACATCCCATGTTAACCTGGAATGGAATGTCAGGGATGTAAGAAATACAATAAATACACTTCATTACTTTAATTAATTAATTAATTAATTAATTAATTAATTCATTGACAGAAACAAATCCAAATAAAGCTACAAAATGCATTCCTTATGGGGAAATCCAGATGTTCAAACATTAAAGGGAACATTAAATTGACAATGGGGGAATCGTTTACCCTCAAAATTTAACAACAAACAACAACTTAAACACTCCCATCTTTTTAAAAACCGAATTCGAAGAATTAATACTTCTCCCTGTTTCGCTTACAATGGCGAAATAATGAAAACTATTGTAGCTATATTTTTACCTTCCATTTTTGACAACCATAAAAACTTCTCCCTGTTTCGCGTACAACACACAAGGGGGATTTCATTCCACAAAGGCAATACACAGGCGGTTCATACAAAAGTGTAGAACTTCGTCCTTTAGTGGCAGTAGATGCAGATGAAGATGCCATCTGCTTTCGTTCGAAGACGACGACTGTTACGACCTAGGGAGGAAGAAGACTCAAACTTGTGCGATGGGGAATAGTTCTAAGAAGATAAGACGATAATTTAAAGAAATATAACAACAATAATAAAATAATTACTCAGCCAACTTAAAAACTGCCACTTAGGCTGCCACATAAGCAGTGAATGGGGTTACCGGTTGGTAACCTTCCAAACGGCCTAATTGGTTGTTTTTTTAGACTTCGTGGACTGAAATGAACGAATTTAGAGTAGGGGGCTTAATTGACTTTTCGTACAAAGTAGAGGGGCTTATTTGACAGTTTTCTCTAATGAGAAAGAGCGGGCTTGGACGTTAGCCTAAAAAGTCCTGTGGTTTTCTCCCTTTCCGGGTTTCCACGTAAAAATAGCTAGTTCATACACTTATATATATATTGATTTACTTTTATACCGAACTCATCGTCCTTAATATCCGAAGATTATGTTGGGCTTCCGGATCTACGGGACAAAAAATCAACAATTTGTTTAAATAATTTCTCTATTTTCCGATTAGACACGCAATTCACCCAACACACTTGTCGTCGAGCCTCTCAATTCATGTAAAGCTGAAAGAGGACGAACGATGTATCTAAGTAGATAACGGATTCCATGTCTTGTTCTAGCTAGCAAAGACTGTTGGTAGGGGTACAATCCAACTTGACAATTCTTATTTTGCGGTTATGTTTGTTATGTGTTTTGATAGTTATTTCCCCGAGCACTGGCGCTCCGGATTGTTTTGTATCCCATGATGTGGGGGAGATGTTGCGGTGTCCCAACCAGCTTTGTCTGGTCAAGGGTTTCTGATTGCTTTCTTTTGGGTTGTGTAGATACTCATAGGGCTCGACCTCCTCCAGATCCACCTCCGTGCTGGTAAGAGTTTTGTGGAAAAGTTTTATCTCACTTTTATTTTTCCTTTGGTAAGAGTACTTATTTTTATTTTACATTGAGTGAGTTTGGTTTGGATATTTGGATTTCTAAAGTACTTTTGATAGATATTGTTTTAGGCTTAAATTTGCCTATTTTGTGTCTAGCGAATTAGGTTGTTTTGTGTGAAGTGACTGATTCTATGTGATCAGATCTGGCATAACTTTATGTGAATTTGACTATGTCTATTCCAAGAATTTATGATCAGATCTGGCATAACTTTCTGAAGGTTGTTTTGTATGATTCTTGATATTATTATAAAACCCCGCTGTTTTATATTTAAAAAAAATTAAATCATTGTTGAAATTAAGCAGTTCAAAAAGTTCATATACTCCATATAAATTATTGTTAAAATCGTTTATAGAATGTTGAAGGGGTAAACTCCTACACTTGCACCGTTCTATTAATGAGTGACACATTATACAATATAAACCATTTACATCAAATGAATTGCCATGATTTTTTTATTCATTTTAATATTTTACCAGACGGGTGCAATTACTCGGTGAATATTGAGGCCAATATCCCAACTAACACATCAAATGAGAAAAGGTCTTTTGATATTGCGGAATGCATTGGAACTCAAACATCAAGCACACAGGTAAGAAAAACGGTTGAAGAAGAAAAATGAGCGCATTAAGTAATTTTTTGCAAACTTTCTTTACATTTTTTACATATCACTCGGACTTGGTAGAGTTATTTAAGTATCTTAAAATTCCTCGATTTTGGGACTATTTATTAAAACATGTGGTTGTTTGCGTTTTTGAGTGACTGTGGTTGGTTTGTTGTTGTCCATGTAGCATACACATGGATAGTCCTGGACTCGGGCCGGGTGGCCCGACCCGGAACCGGCTCGGGACCGGTACTGTGCTGAACTAGCCCGGCCCGGTGACCCGGCCAGTGACCGGTCCGGGTAGGCCCGACCCGGGGGGTCCCGGTGCGGGCTCGAGTCACCCAAAAGCCGGGCCGGTTCGGGCCCGATTCCGGGCGTTTTAATTTTATTTTTTTTCAAGTTTTTTTAACTTTTCGGGTTGGGCTGAGTATTTTGGGCCATTTGGGGTGTGGGGGGTAATTAGGAAAAGGGGAAAAAAATTTGACCCGAGGCCCGGCCCGGCCCCGGCCCCGGTCCCGGACCAGACCCGGTGGCTACCTGGGCAGGTCCCGGTCCCACCTATTCAGAACCGGCGGCCCGCCCGGGGGACCCACCCCGCCCCGAATCCAAGACTACACATGGAAACGCGGAAAGCGGAACTGGACACGTGATTAAGGAAAGAAATTTACTGAGGAGTAAAATTTACTGAAGAGTACATCGTTTTGACCTTGTTTTACATTGTTTTGATGTAGATTTGTTTACAAAAAAAATGTAGATTTGTTTACCAAATAAAGAAATGTGACTTTGTTTTAAAACATTCAAAAAAGGGAAATGTACGTTGTGAAACGAAAGAAGTACATATGTTATCTCGTGTCTATTAATGACATACACCATTTCTCATTACCAAAATAGTTAAAATAAAGGAGTGCTTGCGATTACTTCATTGGTCCCTGACCGGTTGATGACCTACTATTCAAGTTATTTTCTTATCTTTGCAAACCATTATACCATAAATCTCATCTTTTACAAAGATAATATTTTGCAAAGATAAGAAAATAACTTGGAATAACAGGTCATTAACAGGTCAGAGACCTGAAGACATGGTGCAAATGTTGGATTGTTCTTGAATAACGAAAATGTGAGACTATTGTAAGAAGACTGCTAAAAGATTGGATTATTAGTTTCTGTTTCCCCAAGTGATTTTGGAGAAAGTGTTTAAAGGTAAAAATTGATGAGGAATGCTAGATGTACCCCAAAACGAGGTACCCCATTTGTACCTCACTATATGAGTGGCTCACAAAACCCCACAAAACAATTGCCCAACTTAAATTCATTGCTTTTCTTAACCATAAAACTAGGGAGAGAGTACAAAATGGGGTATAGAATGGGGTAGCTTTAGAATTTTTCATAAATTGATAATGTGAAAAAAAAAGTGATTTGGAAAAGTAAAAGTTGATAGTTTTATAAAGTGTTTTTTTTGTGTATCACCAATATAACTCCATTCACCTATCTCAAATGAGGAACCGCGCAAACAATCTCCCTTGGCCAGGCACCGAATCAAGGCAGAGACCCTGAACCCAATTGTTGATGTATGTTACAACTACTCAAAACACGAAACCCCCAAGTCACCCTTCCCGCGCAGTGGAATTTTCTATCAAGGGCCTCTGTCGCATGACCGAGACAGTGGCGAGCCATCAGTTGAAATTAAAAGTTCCCGTCGTGAACCTCTGTCAACCAATCCACGACAAAATGAAAATCCAACACAGACCCACAACATATAGCAAGTGAGAATCGCTAAATCGGTAAGCTGTTGTGGTGTATTGCTTCTCAAATGTTTTTAGTTGTTTTTTGCAAGTTTTTTTTTTTTTTTAAATATAGTCTATAGATGTTTCTGATATGTTTATTCGCTTGCACAGAATGATTTCGATTTTTTGTTATATTTGAAGAAGCCTAGTTCTTTGTTAGGTCGAACGTATTCAATAGTTCGAGGTTATTCCCCAACCACAAAGCCGCAAGCCTCCTGGCCACCGCAAACCACCAGGGCCCGACTTCTCACGGAAATCAGAAGAAGCAAGAAGGACGAGTGTACGACGATTCAACGGACCACTTCGCCGCTGCTCTAGTGCTCTCGGCTCTCGCCTCTGGAGTGAAGCCGTGAAAAATGGAAGGAGGATGAAGGATTGGGTGTTGACCTCTGCGGCTCCGCCACCAACGCCAGCGCAAGCTGCCAGGCCGCCACTGCCCCACCGCAACTCCGCGACCCGCCTCCCTTCCGGTCAGTCCACTGATTTTCAGTTTTTCGGATTCATTTGGTTGCTAATTCTTGGGATTTTTGAATTATTGAATTGTTTGATGAATTGATGAATTGTTGATTTTTGAAGTATTGAATTATTGAATTGTTGAATTGTTTATTGAATTGTAATAAATGTGTAAGTGTGTTTAGCATTGCATTTATTAGTAACTTGTATTTTAAGATAATATAAATTTGATAACTTGTATTTTAAGACATTTTGCTTGTGTTGCAACTTCAAAAAAAGCCCTAATTTTATTGTCGCACGGGTCTATATTTTCTTGGGACCGGCCCTGCATATATGGAGAGTATTATTATATGGCCACTGAAATATATTTTTACTATGATATCTTATTAGTTCATAGAATGATTTAACCGGTTTTGAACATTAAATGGACTTGTATGCTACAAAGGCACGGTTCTGTTCTTCTGATAGGGTCGGTATACTCATAGTTGTTATGGCGTCGCTGCATCGACGCCTTATCGTCGCCTTGGCGTCGTGGCGCTCTGGACAGGTCGCCATGGAAGCTCGACACGCCATAAGTCAATAGGCGTGACCCAAATCCAATAATTACGAACAGGCCCAAACCCAAACCCACTAATTTGATAAGTGATTAGCGATAACCCATCAAGGTTCGAACATCTTCTTCCCCTGTGTATTTCCGTAGGCTCGATTGCTCGAACTCTTGAACATCTTCTGCGAAAGGTATTTCCGTCGCCTGTAGGTCGTCGCGCGTTTTTGGGATAGACTATTTGTTTTATTTGCTTCGGATTTCACAAATAGGCATCCGTTCAGTTTTGCTTCAGTTACTTCAGTATTGATTTTATTAATTTATTTTGCTTCAGTGTTTGCTTCGCATTTGTTTTAGGTACTTATGTATTTATTTTGCTTCAGTTTTGGGATAGTCATTTGTTGACCGTAGGCCATATATGCGTTAGACTTGTTTTTGTGCTCCAGAATTATCCTCTACTATGTACTGTCTAATTTTTGTATTTCTTCTCTTTGTTGTTCCAGTGGCCTGTATTAATTAATTAATTAATTAATTACATTATTTCTACTTAATATTTTAATATTTTCTATTTCTTTATTTCATTGCTCCAGTAAGCTGTATTAATTTTTTTAAAGTCATTCCATTTAATATTTTAATATTTTAGTGTTGAACTGTGCAGTGTTGTACAGAAACTTTTTGAAAAGATTGTATTGTTACTATTTTAAGAAAAGTTTCAATTGTTTTGATTTTCTAGAAAAAAATCAGTTTTCCCCTTAAAATAGTGAAAATTCAGTTGTTTTTTTATACTCCGTATGTTATATTTAATAATTTTATTGGTGTGTTGAAGTATTTTAGTGAAATATCTGACAATTTCATTGATAATGGTGGATTATAGATTATGTTATTTCTATTTTCTAGTGTTTGGATTATGGATAATGGTGTGATTGTTTTTATGAACTATAGACTTATGGTTATGGTCTTATGGATTGTGTTGTTTCTATGATTACATGTTTTACTACTTCATTAATAGTGTTGACAATAGGTGTTACATGTAGGCATTTTAGAATTTAAACCGTATTATGAATTTGTTAGTGTAAGTATGTCGACTTATCGCCGCGATGCCGCCACAACGGGCGCCGTATCGCCATGGCGGTATGGCAGTCCGGAGGCGCCACGCCGCAAAACCCCGCCGTAACAACTATGGGTATACTGACATAATTCTCTGGAGTATTTAGAAAGCTCAGATCCGCAAGTTCCTATTTTTTCCAATTTTTAATTCTAAAATAATTTCCGGTTAGCAAATACTACTACGCATGATTATATTTTTAGAGCCAAATACAGCTGAATATTCAGGTCTCTAGTAGATACAAAGATAAATTAAATGCATCATGTGTAGGTAATCTTAACTCAAGTCATTTTTAATCATTATAAGTTATAACTAAACTCATTTTATTCGTCACACACCATTTCAGCATTTTGTTTTGGTCTTGTGATGAAGTAATCTAGTTTGCTGAGATTATAAAGATAATTGAAATATTGAATGTATGCTTTCAACTATACGTAATACAAAGTTAATGCTTTTGTTACATTTCCATCAAGAAATATACATTGAATTAGTGTTGATCATTCTAAACATTAATAACAACTTAAAACTTCATTGCCAAAGCTTTTTAGAGCGGACATATTTTGTTTATATGTATAGATAAAAATACCTGTCCAGCCGGCCTGACGGGAAGCGCCGTCCGGCCGAGGGAATTTCGGGCACTTCCCGGTGGAATTTTTTGATGAAATTTTTTGAGCATGTTCTTCATGAAGTTTAGTTTATCCATACCAAATTTGAGCTAAAAATTCAATCGGGAAGGCAGTCAAATAATTTGTTGAAGTTAACTGCGCAGTTTATATGTATGAACTGCCCAGTTAAATTCAAGAAATTATTTGAGGGCCTTCCCGATTGAAGTTTTAGCTGAAATTTGGTATGGATAAACTAGACTTCATGAAGAACATGCTCAAAAAATGTCATCAAAATATTCCACCGGGAAGTGCCCGAAATGCCCTCGGCCGGACGGCAGTTCCCGTCAGGCCGGCTGGACATGAAAAGTTGTCATATATCATATATGTATGCTTTTGTGCATGTGTGCTATGTATATATGTATCTTTTTAGGTATTTTTATCTATATACGTAACTTGTTGATATATGTGTCTATGCATAAGTGTGCATGTAATAATTTATTGTAGTCATTCTTTTCAAGAATTGATACGGAGTATTATATTATCTTCCTGTTTTTTTTTCGGGAGCTTTAATTGCGGGACTTCCCTTTGTTGGAAGTCTTCATTGAGCTGCATATTTAATTTAGGAAAGTAGATTTAGATTGTCATTGTTGAGCAATTGCCTCTTAGTATTACGTAGTTCTTTATACGGGAATAAGAATTGGTGCCAAGAAACTTCAGGAAATTTTGGCTTTTTCTTCCTTTGCTTGTGCTTGTTAAAGTTGTGTTTTCATTGTGCTTCTTTAAGTCTTTGGCCAACTCAAATGAATATATCAGATATACCCCTGAGCTGCTGAAATAAAACCCCTTGAGAAAATGTAGCTTAGAAAAGACGTTTAGGTTAGATTTTGGGTGAGCTGCAATTTTCATGTAGGGGAATTACCTCTAGAGACCCATGGTTGGGAGCTGCCTCATTGTAGTTCTTTCTTGTGAATAATAATAGGTGCCAAAAAGCTGCAGATAATTTTGGGTTTGTCTCCCCTGCGTTGCTTCTGGAAGGTGTATTCTCATTGCTCGTTAGCAAAAGAAATGCTATATGTATGTATATACGGAGTACATCATTTTTTGTTGATATTTTAACTTTTTTCATCCTGAGTCTTGAAAGAGTAAGGAAGAGGTAGAGTTATTATGTGGTGTTCGTTGCAAAAGAGTTTGCTAGTATTTATAGGAAATGAAAACTATTTCTATAAAGAAAATACACGTCCCAAGAAACAGACTATCAATCTTGATGGGCTGAGTTCTGTTACAGAGATTTGAATTTATAGAACTTTTATGCACACGCCCCAAGAAAAAGGTTGATGAGATTTCACTGGGGCTGTTTTCTTTGTAAAAACAGTTTGGTGCTTCATGCTGCCCCTAAATACTACTCGTATTTATAGGTACTTCGTGCATGTGCAACTGTGTACATATATATACATGTGTCTATTTATAAACACTTCATATATACAAAGTATGTGTTTAATGTATATGTGTGTGTATAATCTTTTATATTCAAATTTACTACGTAGTTTAGGGGATAACTGCACTTTCACTTATTTTTTTTATCGTGGGTGATATTTTTTTTCCGATTTATTGACTTCATAGTATCATACTACGAAGTCAAGAGGGTGTGGCACAAAATTTATGAAAAAGCGGAAATATGTGGTTGGTATTGAATTGATAAAGTGTGAATAAAGTAAGAATAGATTGTAACCACTCAAATATTACCAAATATGGTATGAGACAAACTTAATGGGACGGACGAAAAAGGTAAAACGGGACAAACTTAGAGGGACAGAGTGAGTATATTAATACAATAATAATACCATGTATATTACTACGTACTATTAATGGTTTTTTCTTTGTAGGTAGGAATAGAGGCTACCTCTCTTTTGCACAGCAATCGAGGTCAGCCCCTATTTTGCACAAGAATCTAGGAGGCAAGAGACAGCTTTTATACCCCCCATAACATCACTTATCAGTTCTTAGCAGCACTGCTGGTAGGCTATAGTTTTGTTCCCGATTCCTATTATCCCCGGAACTATATAATATGATCAAGAGTGTCGGAGTTCCATCGAATTCGGCTATTTGGGTCACATCTCCCCACCGCGCGATCCATTTCTTCCATGTATCTATATTTTGCAGTCTCATTCCTCACAAAAACAAATCCTACGACGCAGTTGCCTTCTCTAACATCCGCTGCACTTCTGTTGTGTCTGAACCCCGCCACAATTCCAGCCTAGTTAAATCTGAGGTAATTTAATCAATTGTGAACTACACAAATTCATCTGACCTGACACCACTTTCCAGGTTTTCATCATACCTATTTTTTCTAAAGCATTTATTTAGACAACAAAACAGGGGAACCTAATGATTTGATTAGCACAAGTCTATAGAACAACAAAAATGACGTTTGTACTTTGTACCCACTCTTATACACACTTTTATACTCACTCATGCTTGTGAAGGTCTTTTTGTCTATGAGTTCCATTCATAGACAATATTTTGTTTGTGCAAACTTTGAACAAACAAAATAACACAAAATGATATTTACAAAAAAAAACCTTCACAAACCTTCCATCAAGCATTGTTGAGAGAACAATAATCCTACCCATCATAATAGAATTGATTTTATGAGCCCTTGTATTGAATTTGACATTAGGATAAGGACATTTATGATAAATGTATTCTTGTTTATTTATTTACTTAATGTTTAAAATTATTTAAAAAGCTCATTTGAACTCACAACTCTTAATAGCTGCTGCAAGTAGGCTATGACAATAGAGATCTTATTAGCATACAAGTATGCACTTGGTTACGCGAATAATCACTACAGCCTGTTTATAGGAAGAAGAGAGCATATTGAAACAATGAAACTAAAATGTGTATCAAACCTGGGACATGGATTTCACTGTATGCCAAAAAAGGAACTGAGCCGTATGGCTTATTTAATACCTTGTAGTAAAATCTCTTATAATTTCATCTCAAAATTGCATTAAGAAGGAGAGGAAGAAATACAAGACTGGAGCCTTCAATTCCACACTATCTCTCTGTGTTTCATATTTTCCACTTTTGGGGCACAGTTATGGATCTTTTGTCCTTTAGTCATTCCGGCCACTTATCTGTTCATTTTTCATACAATTGTATGTTCATTTTTGCCGGATAATAAGGGACAATAGAGAAGGAAAATGAACAAGAAATAAATAAGTGTGTACTAAAATTGGAAGAAAAACAAAATCATGGTTCAGAACTGATTTTTTTCTAATTTGTGTTGATAATAGGAACCCGCTGATGACGAATATGAGGAGAAAGTTGTTAGAAATGGTTCTTATTATACAGACATTGCTTCAAAGATAGAAGACTTGAGTACAAATGGATTACCTCTTCAAGCCGAAAGAATTGCATTTAGTATGAGATCTGAAGGCTATCTACCCGATGTTGCAACCCTATCTGCCTTGATGTTATGCTATGCCAGCAACGGTCTAGTAAGTAAATCGCTTGCAGTTTGGGATGAAATAGTAAACAGTTCTTTTGTGATGGATGTTCAAGTAGTTACAAAACTAATTGATGTCTACGGACGTATGGGACGTTTTGATATTGTTGTAAGAATTCTTCGTCAAATAAAAATAAAAGACCCTACCAAGCTTTCACATGTTTATCCATTGGTTATATCTTGTTTTGGAAAAAGAGGTCAACTTCAACAGATGGAGGTTATGCTAAAGGAGATGGTTTCCATGGGGTACTCTATAGATTCTGCAATGGGAAATGCCTATGTCATATACTATAGCCGGTTTGGCTCACTTTCCGAGATGGAATGTGCCTATGGGCGCCTCAAGAGTACGAGACTTCTCATAGAGGAAGAAGCAATTAGGTCAATCTGTAGTGCTTATATCAAAGAGGAGAAATTTTACCAACTAGGGGAGTTCATCAGGGATGTGGGCCTTGATAGGAGGAATGTAGGGAATCTTCTTTGGAATGTTTTGTTATTATCGTATGCTGCCTGCTTCAAAATGAAAAGCTTGCAGAGAGAATTTGTGAGAATGACTGAAAGTGGATTTCGTCCTGATCTTACTACGTTCAACATTAGGTTATCCGCTTTCTCAAAAATGTCCTTATTCTGGGATCTTCATGTGAGCATTGACCATATGAAGCACGAAAATGTGGTTCCTGATATTGTTACTTATGGATCCATCATCGATGCTTACCTGGAGAGAAGACTAGGAAGGAATTTGGATTTTTCTTTGGGCAAAATGAATGTGAATGATCATGTTTCTGTGCTAACAGATGCACTCATGTTTGAGGCTTTAGGGAAAGGGGATTTCCATTTAAGTTCAGAGGCTTTCATGGAGTACAGCAGTAAAAGGTGGACTTATAAACAGCTTATAAGAACTTACCTGAGGAAAATGTCCCGACATGATCAAATATTTTGGAATTACTAACAATGAAAAAAGCACAGTTTATCAAGTTTCTTCTTGAGAATCAGCCTCACATGTTTAGTGGTCAAAATTTTCGAAACAAACTGCTTCTGCTATCAATATGGAGGTTATCTTGTGCAAGACAGTGTCATTCACCAGATAAATTTTCCACGGTGCAGGTACTAGAAACGCTGTCAACCCTATCATGTGTTTGATGGACTGAGAAATTCTGGTATAATAATGAAGAACCAAATCTCATGAATATATACACACTTACACGCACGAATGAGGAAAAGCATGTCTAGCTAACCTTCCTAATTCCTATATTTGAGTGTAGCTGTGTGGTAACATTTCCACTATGCATGTGAGTTACAAAATAATATGTACAAACAATAAGAAGATAGAAAAAATCTTAAATAAATATTATGTTCTAATATTTGAATTTGTTAAATATTTGTTTTTGCAAGAACTCACTATGGCGTCTAGACAAAACCACAATTAGTATCTCAATTGTTTGACATAATGTAGGACCATAAAATCTCATTTTACACTGCTAAATATCAGTGTTTATGGGACACTGTCCAACCTAAAATGTCCCTATAAACACTACAAGAAAAAGTGTTATTTGCGTCCAAACTTTTTGCGTTAACATAAGTCAACACAAATAACAACTTTTTGCGTTAGGCGTGTGGAAGCAAATAACCTTGAGAAAAATCTCACCCCGACATTGACGTTAATGTAAAGTTTTTAATACAGAGTATCTCACAGCGTACATAGGATTAGTTTTTCATCAGAAAACATAACAAAGCAAATACTAGCTATTATCAAATTGAGAGACCAACAAAAGTACTACAACAACAACATCCAAGCCTTAGTCCCAAAAGATATTGGGGTTGGCTTACATGAATCGATACATGATATCACCACCAAAAGGAAAAGAAAGAAAAAAAAAGAAAAAAAGCTAATATAAAAGGATAATATAAAATGAGATGAATATACCTAAAAATGATAAGTGCTACTCCCACCCTTTTTCTGATTGTCTCATTTCGCACGTGGTCCTTCCTAGTATGTCGACAATCCAACGCAACATGCGCATCTATGCCACACTCATCTTTTCAATGTGACATTGTTTCACACATCACTCTACGCCATCCAACAATGCAGGTCAAATTGTTGTCCTATAAAATTTTACCCTTCAGTCAAGTCGACATACCTCTATCACATAGAAATCCTGACACACTCTTCCACTTCATCCACCCTGTTCTGATTATATGAGATACATCTCCATCTAGTTCATCGTCCTTCTGAATTATGGAGCCCAAGTAATGGAACATATCACTGACTGGTATCTCCTTACCATCTAGAGTAATTCCACTATTACCACTGCTTCTACCTCCACCAAACTTAACACTCCATGTACTCTGCCTTGCTCCGACTTAGTCTGAAACCCTTGTTCTCCAATGTCTGTCGCCATACTTTCAACTTTGCTTTAAGACCTGATTGCGTCTCATCAATCAATACAATATCGTCGGCAAACATCATGCACCACGGTATTTCGTCTTGAATTGACTTCATAAGTTCATCCATGACTATGAAAAATAAGAAAGGGCTCAGAGCCGATCCTTGGTGCACTCCGATAGTAATGGGGAACTCCGCAATCCTCCCTACATTAGTACGAACACTTGTAGTACAATCTTCATACATATCCATGATGATGCTGATATACTTGCGTGATATGTCTTTTCTAGTTAAGGCCCACCAAAGAACTTCTCGAGGTACCCTATCATAAGCCTTTTCTAAGTCAATGAACACCAAATGCAGATCCTTGTGAGCGTCTCTATACTTCTCCATAAGCTGCCGAAAAAGGTGAATGGCCTCAGTTGTTGAGCGACTAGGCATAAAACCGAATTGATTCTCTGAAATCTTCACAGTTTTTCGAAGTCTTTGCTCAATCACTCGCTCCCAAAGTTTCATGGTGTGACTCATAAGCTTAATCCCTCGATAGTTGGCACATTCTTGTACATCACCTTTATTCTTGAATAAGGGGATAAGAATACTCTTCCTCCAACTTATGGGCATCTTGTTGTTTCTCCAAATCATGTTGAAGAAACTTGTTAACCACTCGACGCCTCTCTCTCCCAAACTTCTCCAAGCCTCGATAGGTATGCCATCTGGACCCACTGCTTTCTTCCGCCCCATCTTCCCAGAGTCTCCTTAACTTCCGTTGTTTGGATCCTTCTCACAAAATCACGATTTACCATACAATCCGGTATGGTCAAATCACCGATATCTTGAGTTTATTATGATTTGATTTTGGTAGCTTCAATATTTAATCTATTTTAGGAAGTGATTTTCTAGGATTTCCCTTCCCTTGTTATCTGCATGTACTCCCTCTTATAAAAGGGAGCTTTGTTATGCTAATAAGATATCGAAGAAAAATTAAGAAGAAAAGCAAGGAGAAGGAGAACTCTCCAAATTTCCAGTCCCCTATCCATTTAGGTATTCAATTTTTCCACAATCTCGATTTCGGTAAACATCCATCATCTTCTACCTGCCCCGACTTCATCCCGATCGATCTCCATCGTCTTCTTCCTGCCCCCCCCCCCACCCCCCACCCCCCTCATTGAAAGATGGTCATTTCTTCGCACTTTATATCAATTCAGGTATGACATCTCAATTTATGAATTTTGTTTAATTCCGATTAATTTCTTAAGAATATTAGGAATACCATGTGACTATACTAAGGTTAATAACATTGAATCGGAAATAATTAATACTAGTATTCCACTCGTGCATTGTACGGGATATATTATGCATATATTATAAATGCTAATATGTAAATACAGTTAACACACCCATGAGACAAATCATAAAAATCACAAGTGTTAGAATTTAGTAAGTACATGCATTAAAAATTATTAAAGACCTCAAACCACTTTTTTGCAATTTTTATATTGACTGTCACTACATATCACGAACTTTAACTCAGGCAAACTTATCACCCTCGAAACTTTATCATACAACTATCCATCCATGTGTAAAAACAGGATATCATGACTTAACACCCACATTTTACAACAATCTTGTTTGACTCTTGTTCATTGTCTCACAGCTAACTATTAAGAGAACTTGTCTAACGAATGTGAAAGTGAACCCCACATTTCATTTGAGCCTCAATAATATGACCTTTAAGTTTTATAGTAGTTTTATAATATAATTTCTATCCATTAAAAAAGAAAATGTAGTCAACGTAGAAAATATAAATAGTGTAGGGGTGAAAGTGTTTAAACTATTAAAAATGGATGAAGTATTAGTTTAGTTTTTATTTAAGCATTCTCTCAAAAACTTCTTCTAAAGGAAAGATTTGTGTGACTGATATATCTTTTTCTTTTCAAAATGAATAACAATTACTCCGTCTCATTTTCTATATAATGGTCGATTAAATTATGTTACTCGATCAGAAAGGAACTCAATAAAAAAAACATGCTCTAATTAAGAAGTTAATAAATCAAAGCTCAAATTTGATGACTCCTGAATTTATGTTATTTCCTAAGATACGGAGTATATGTTTTTGAAAAAATCTCGACCTATAATACGTCACCTTCTTCGAGCTTAGGATAATTAAGTAGAACACCTTTCAGGGAATTATACAATGCATGAAGTGACTTTGTGGAATACGGGTTTACTCAGCGAAGCTAAGAGATCAGATGTGCTACACAATATCCATCCAGCAAAGAGAGTTTATCAGCAGCAACCCTATCTAGCTATTTTGTTCTTTTCATACTCTTCCTCACAGTTTGGGGTTCTTTTGCTTTCAAATCATCACAGAAATATCTAAATATGGCAGCAAGGTGCTTATTTCAATGTGATGGGAAAGGAAATCACAAATATTGTGTGTTAATAATAGAGAAGTATTGAGTTAATGATAATGCCGAGTAACAATGAGACAATTACAAGATTAATCCACCCTCATTTCGCGAATTTTAAAATTATAGGGTAAAACTCAAGCAAGCAGCACCATCCACTCACATGAAAGTATCATATCTTCAGTTTTAATTGACTTGCAGCCAGCATGTTGTGCAAATAACTCAATATCCTTCGCCAACTGTTCTGCTCCCCGAGCAAAGCATGTTGATCTGTGAGTGCCCAACTTAAACTCTCAATATGTTTATTATGAGCCACAATGCTAAGAACAGTAAGAGAGCATACACTGATACACCTAAAAAAGAAAATACATGTTGAGCTCAAAGGAAAAACTATGAAAAGCAGCAGGAAAATGCACAACTTTGAACTCGACGAAGTATATGCTAGAGCTAAATGTACCCCGTTGATTACACTAAAACTAAAGTTAGAAATATGCTAAGAAATGGATTGATGGGCAGGAAACTCATCCTTCAGAAAATTCTATCTAAACTGCATATATTATAAAATATGGATGGAAAACATGCACTCCAATGAATAAACAGAAACTATAGTTAGAAAATATGTTATGAAATGGCTTGATGGGCACTGCATATATTATAAAATATGGATGGAAAACATGTACTCCAATGAATAAACAGAAACTATAGTTAGAAAATATGTTATGAAATGGCTTGATGGGCAGGAAAATGAGATGAAACTTATTGTAAATGCTCCCTAGCATCATATGAGTTTCAGAGTTTACGTGAAACACCGTCAAAAGTAGACATCAATAGAAGTACTCAATATTCTAATCTATAAACTAGAAGTATAGCGTCCAATAGAGTACTCTATAGGCTATGCTTGTGCTAGAATAGCCTATAAATACACCTTCATCAACTTTCTCTTGAAATACCTTTATATGTTCCTTCCCATTGTTGAGAATGTAACATTTACAGTCCATATGTTCTTAGGGTACAGAACACCCTCGAAAATGCTGGAATTCAAATCCAAAACAAATACTGGATATCTGTTTGACTCAACGGATTGCGAAGATATCACTACTAATTAACGGTGATTCTCTTAATCGCAAAATTGATTGCGCGTTTATTGGAGATATTGTGTTTGATGGAGTATATGGACTCCGAATCCCCGGTCTGCCGACTATTGGGCCTGGACAGCGGCCAACACACGTTTAACAGATTCAGATTATTGTACATTATTATTATTATTCAAATGTTCTAGATTAGCTTTTTATACTATCAATCCATTTATGTAATCGGGTCTGTCAGGCTCATATTAGAGGCCCAGACCCGGATTTTCCCTATATATACTCCTTATAGGAGGCTTGTAAACATAACTCATAATTCATTCTATACACACTTATCTCCTTCTCCACATTTCTTGTTCAAATCTCTCTAGATTATAGGTTATGGGTATCAATTATCCAACAGCGTGTACTGTAGAGTTGACCGGTTGGACCCACAAGATAGGCGACTTGCTATTTTGGGCGTAGTGAATAATATTCTCCTGATA